AAACAATTTGAAAACCCCCCCCAAAAAAAAAAGAGAGGAATTATTTGGTCGCTTCAACCCACGGCTGTTTGTGCGCGGGGGGACGCTGCCGAGCGCAATTGGCTGCCGCGCTTCGCCCGCAAAGTACACAGTCACGTCACTTTGTCGGCGTGTCCTGCGCAGCGCTTGCGAGACGGGACGAAGGCGCTGGATCAAGCGTGAGGATCGCTATTATTTTGCACGACGCGCGCGGCTGGCTGACCCCTGCAGCTGTCCGCTGAGCGCGACGGCGCGGGGTTCTTGGGCGCTCGGGGCACCTTTGTGCATAAGGCGCTTCAAACTGCGCGTCTTTCCTCGCACAGGGAGGAGAGGAACAGATGGGGGCACTCAACCATTGCTAAGCCTTTGTACGCCTTGTCACTTCCTGACTCTGTGATTGCATGTGCGGAAGGCAGTGTGTGTGTATGCGTGTGTGTGTGTGTGTGTACGCGTGCTGCGTGTGAGTTGTGTGTGTGCGCGCGTGTGCGTGTGAGAGAGAGAGAGAGAGAGAGAGACCGAGCAGAACCGGGAAACACCAAGGGATTCAACGTACAACTAGAAGTTCCACCAAAAGGAATCGTCAAAAATAACAATAGTCCTTACATTTTACACAACCCCTGTCGGGGTGGGAGATTCACGGAAGTGTGCGGCAGAGAAGGAGGCCATTCGGCCCATCAAACGGGGATTTTTTTGTTAGGCGATTGGCTGCCGCGATTCGCCCACAAAGCGTACGGTCGATTCACTTTGCAGCGTAGACTGTGAAGCGCTGTGAGACGTCTCGAAGACGTGATGAGGCGCTGTATCAAGTGCAAGGATTATTATTATTATAATATGACCTTCCGAGAGCGTTACCGACTGAGACTCGTGCGCTCGACGCGGCCCCTGGACCAAAAATAACCGGTGAGGAGAGGTGAGTCACCGCGTCAAAGCGCCGGGGTCATGGCGTCGGAAGGCGAGGGCCGTATTAACGAGGGAGGCACAGCGATCAGACCATCCAGAGAGAGGAAGTTATTTAGTTGGGAGCTGCGCCAAACGGAGCCTTCGCTGTGCTGAGTAAACAGGAACTCCACGCAGCTTAAGTCGACGCTCCCCTGTGAGTCGCAGCGCAAGGTGCAAATCCTCAGGGTCCTCGGAAGAATCTCTACGTGGCTGACTGGGCTAAGTCCGTTGCCTTCTCCTCTTCCCCTCTCTCTCTCTCTCTCTCTCTCTCTCTTTCCCCCCTCCCTCCTCCGTCACACCCCCGTTTGTGGGACGTCGCTGTGCGCAATTGCCTGCCGCGTTTCGCCCGGAAAACACACACACACACACACACACACACACGTGATCCGCTTTCCGTGAAGCGCTTTGAGACGTCGAGAAGACGTGAAAAGCGCTCTATCGAACGCAAGGATTATTGTTTTATTATTATTATTATTATAGCACGTTCTCTCCCTCTCTCTCTCTCTATGGCCGAGCTATGTGGGTTTAGCTGGTCAGACTCCAGCAGTTACCCCCCAACGTACACTCTGGGCTCCACCCCACCCCACCCCACCAGCCTGGGCTCTCGCCAACCGGGGCGACAAGAGGGTGCGATCATACCCCTGCACCACGAGGACCCTGTGCGTCCTGTTCCCTGTACAGTCGTCTGGTCCGGCCACACCTGAAGGTCTCAAAGGTGTGACCTGAAGATAACGGCAATAATCCTCGCCTGTGAAATAGCGCCTCATCGCGTCTTCGAGGCGTCTTAGGGTGAGGGTTAACCCTCCGGAAAAGCGATCCACCAATCGAGTAGCAACCGGGTTCCTACTGACCGTTGGGTAGGTGACCATTGCCTAAGGTTTCGCTCTGACCGAGAATCAAACCTCTCTTGCGAGGCGGAGCGCTCTAACCGCCTGAGCTACGGGACACCACTGGGAAGAGGAGGAGGAGGAGGGCGAGGTGGAGGGATAGAGCGTTTCGGGCGTAGCGGCTGAAACCGGGCGGTGGGAGGAACGGGCAGCGGGGAGGGATTCCGAGGGGGTCGGGTCGGATCGGATCCTTCCGATCGTCGGAAACAAGACCATCCAAAACGATCCCGTGACCATCCGGAAGCACTCGAGGGAGTGATGCTGAAATATTAATACGTTCCAAACGGCTTAGTGAGCGCCTCGTTAATCGCAGCCAAATATAGGTACCTTTTTTTTTTCTCTCTCTCTTTGTAGGCAGATTTAAAAACGGACATTAAAAATTTAGCGCCTCCAAATTATTTACTTATTTCCCTAATTTCCTCCCCACTGGCAAAAGCCGTGCCTCTCCGCACCTGGTCTAACTACCTCCTCACCCCCCCCCCTCCTCCTCCTCGCTCCTCTCTCTCTCCCCCTCCTCCCCGACCCCACGACGTTGCTCGTGCGCGTGCGTGCGGCTTGCGTGGGCGAGAACTCGTCCGGAAGTCTGCGGCCTCTCCGCCCCCCCCCCCAACCAACCGCCCTCCGTCACGTCTCCGGGGACGTCTCGAAGCGCTTCGCAGAGTACACCGTCAGGCGTAGTGGCTGTGCGTTTGGCGGCCGGGACGCGGCAGCCCAGTGGCGCCCATCAGCGTCGCTCAAACAGCCGTGGGTTGAAGTGACCGATTTTATTTATTTTTTTTTGGGGCAAGAATTATTGCCCCTCGAAAAGCCGCTCTATCGAATGCGAAGATGATTATTATTATCTTTCACACTGCGTGGAAATCCCTCTCGGAATCTGGTTCGGATATTCGGAAGAGCTTTCCAGTATTAAATCCAACAGCATCAGTGATACAAGTCTCAAGGGCCATCTTTGGCTTCCAATATTTCTTTTAACCTGTTTCTGTAAATCCCTATCTTCTCCCGGTCTCTCCCGAAAGACCTTTTTATATATAAATATACATATATATTTCTCTTATTCATTCCTATTTTAATTGACCTAATCTATCTAATCCTGTGACTCACTCGAATCGCTCCGTCTTGCATCATGACCCAAACTCTCGCTGCACTCGACGGCGCTCTTAGATTTAACGAGGAGGTTGAGTCCGAAATGATGGGGGAGGGGGGGGGGTCGAGCCCCAAGTGCCACACGCTCAAGAGGCGTCGTCCTCGGGACGAGACGTCAAGCCGGGCTCCCCCACCTGCCCCGCCAGCGCCTCGTCACGTCTTCGAGACGCCTCAGAGCGCTTCGTGGAGTCGCCGTGTATTTCTTGGCGGAACCCGGCAGCCGAATTGCGCGCAAACGGTCGGGCGGATTGAGAGAGACTCCATTTTTTTTGGGGGGGGGGAAGGGATTATTACCCCTGGGATTGACCGACAGCCGGGTTCGTGTGTAGAAATCGACTGCCTCGTTTCGCCTGCACAACGCGCAGTCACTACACTTGGCAATATAATCCTGCTGCACGGTTCAAAGACGCGACGAGACGCTGAATCGAAAGCGAAGCTTATTTTTCTCCCCCCCCGCCCCTCCCTCCCCCCAAACCATCGCCCCGCGTTAGCGTGGGGCGCACGTGATGTTTGGACCCAGTTATTTCTACAGCGGTTTTCAGGCCCAGAAGTCTTCTGGCCCACGGAACGGAAAGATAACCGTCCTCCGCTGTGAAACATTCTGCGAGAAGGTGACAAGACCATCACGAACCAATTAGCCTTTGCCCAGGCTGCGATCTCGGCCAGAATAGGCCACAGCGCTGACCGCGCTCTCAACCATCTGTGCCTCCGACAAACGGGACCCTGGTTTGACCACTCATCTGAAGGCGATGCTCTTCCCGACACTGGGCTGGAGCGTCGCACGAGATCGCGATGCGATAAGGGTGATGTGATGTGACGATTGCGTCAGCGTGGCCTCAGCGCTCGGCTGATTCTTGCCTCGGAGTCGCAAGGCTGTGGGTTCAAATCCCAGCATCGGGACTCGCTATCCCGTCGTCTAAGACAACAGCAATAATCATAAGAATAATCCTTGCATTTGATATAGCGCCTTATCACGTCTCTATCGAGACGTCTCTAAGTGCTCCAGTGCGGGGCTTGTGTGTGCGTGTGTGTGGGGGGGGTGGGAGGGGTTCCTTGATGGAAGCGTCATCCTTTGGATGAGACGCTAAAGCCGAGACATGAAACGGTTTCGCCCCCACAAATTTAACAGGAAGGTGGAACAGGTTGGAGGGGCTGAATGGCCTACTCCCGCTCCTGTGTTCCAATAGGGGGAAACTCGCTTCTCTTTACGAGCAGAGCTGCGGCGTCGCTGACATCCGCAGCGGACGAAGGAGAAGATAAGATAAGAAGCGCAGCAAAAGCTGACAATATGCCTGAGACACGGGAGGCTTTATCGGTCGCCTCAGCCAAAAGACAGCGACAACTTTGAAACTGGGTCACCTATTCCAAGTCTCACGTACAGCACATTCCCAGATACTTTCCGGCAACCCAATTTATCTGTTGCACCTGAAGCAAACGGAGCTCAGGGCTGTCGGCAAGTTTCCTTACTCCAAACACACACAAGCACGCACACGCACACACGCACGCACACGCACGCACACGCGCCTCTGTTTACCAACAGTCAGTGGGTTGTTAGTCGACTGGCGGATGGCTTTTCCAGGGGGTAATAATCCCTTCAACTGCAGAATAATTTGGTCAATCAATCCACGGGCTGTTTGTGGAGACGTCGCTGGGAGCAATTGGCTGCCGTGGTTCACCCTCAGAGCACACAACACTCACAGTCACTCCACATTACAGTATATTCTGCGAAGCGCTTTGAGACGTCTCGATGGCGTGATAGGAGAGAAAAAGAGAGACGCATTGTCAGAGATGCCATCCTCCAGACGTATTTTGCAGTCAAGCCCCGCAGCGAGATTGCGCACAGCGACGTCCCGCAAACAGCCATGGAGTGACCCATTTTATTTGGGGGGGGAATTGGTGGCCAGGACACCCGGAGAGAGAGAGAGAGAGAGAGAGAGAGAGAGAGCGCACAAGGGAAACTCCCTTCTCTTTTCAAGCGGTGTCAATCTTTGACGTCCACGGGAGTGAGGTTTAACCTTGTCTCGTCGGGTGGGAAGGTGTTGGCGGGCGCATGGGAAGCCATGTTGGGTGATGGATGATCTGTAGCCAACCAGCTGGGCCAGCGAGAGAGAGCGAGAGAGCGAGAGAGCGAGAGAGCGAGGGCTGGGCAGAGCAGGTGAGGGAAACCAGGTCAGAGGGACTGATAGATTGAGGATGAGCCGAGGTATGAGCTGACCCACATTTGCGTCCCCAGATCTCCTTTCGTTGGCTTCGCTGCTTCGTCAATAACAATTTGCATTTGCACAGCCCGACGCCGAGGTGGGAGGGGGGAGGAGGCGACTGTGAGCACCGTCAAAAGATGGAGGTCTTCAGTCGTGAGCTAAAAGACGGGGGAGGGGGGGAGGGAGAGGGGGAAAGGGAGGGGGCGACGTGGAGGGATTGGGGGAGAGACAGCCAGATAGACCTTTCACTTGTATTGCACCCAACACACTTGGAAGACTGAGACAGAGAGACCCACCCAGACATGGGGGGGAGCGAGAGACACACCCAGACACACAGAGAGAGAGAGAGAGACACACCCAGACACACACAGAGAGAGAGACACACCCAGACACACACAGAGAGAGAGACACACCCAGACACACACAGAGAGAGACCCACCCAGACACAGAGAGAGAGAGAGACATACCCAGACACATACAGAGAGAGCGAGACACACTCAGACACAAAGAGAGAGACATACCCAGACACAGGAGTGTGGGAGAGAGATAGACACACAGAGAGAGAGAGACACACCCAGACACACAGAGAGAGACACACACACACAGACACACGGAGAGAGACACACCCCCAGACACAGAGACACACCCACACACACGGAGAGAGAGACACACCCGCAGACAGAGACACACCCAGACACACAGAGAGAGAGAGAGAGACACACCCAGACACAGAGAGAGTCACATACACACCCAGACACACAGAGAGATACCCAGACACATAGAGAGACACACGCAGACACAGAGAGAGAGAGAGACACACCCAGACACAGAGAGAGAGAGAGACACACGCAGACACAGAGAGAGAGAGAGACACGCAGACACAGAGAGAGAGACAGACACGCAGACACAGAGAGAGAGAGAGAGACAGACACGCAGACACAGAGAGAGAGAAGACAAAAGGAGCAATGCATAAAAACCGGCCACATTTAGCCAAACTCTCCTTCTCTCCGAAGCAGAGCTGTGCTTTCTCGCGCCCCACCCTCTCGCCCCGCGCTCTCGCCCGCGCCCTCGCCCCGCGCCCTCGCCCCGCGCCCTCGCCCCGCGCCCTCGCCCCGCGCCCTCGCCCCGCCCTCTCGCCCGCGCCCTCGCCCCCGCCCTCGCCCCGCGCTCTCTCTCCGGCCATCAATAATTCACAGCTTTTAATACCGCATCTGTTTAATGTCAAACCAATTAGCTCAGAAGGCAGCCCAGGATCGCAGACGATTTCTCACTATAAACGCCCGACACACACACACACACACACACACACACAGGGTCTCCCCTCGTCCGGTCCCTCCCTACCCTGGGAACTACCGGCCCGAAGATTTGACGACAACTTGCATTTACACTGCGCCCCCCCCCCACCCCTCGCGAAGGGCAGAAGTCCCGGAGAGATTGACAGTGGCTGAGCACAATGCTGAGCTGGTGTGGAGGGAGGTGGGGGGAGAGGGGGAGGTGACCGTAAGCACGGGGCGATGGGGGGAAAACGGGGTTTAGTGGGGTGATGGGTGAGCCAGTGGAGCCTGGCGAGGGCTGGGGCGATGGGTTTAGTGGTGATGGGGAGCCAGTGGAGCCTGGCGAGGGCTGGGGCAATGGGGTTTAGTGGGGGGTGATGGGGAGCCAGTGGAGCCTGGCGAGGGCTGGGGGCGATGGGGTTTAGTGGGGGTGATGGGGAAGCCAGTGGAGCCTGGCGAGGGCTGGGGCGATGGGTTTAGTGGGGGCGTGTTGCACATATTCCAGAAACTTCTTCAGGCTGGCCTGTCATGGGAGCAGAGGGACAGGCGTGAGAGGGGAGGAGGGGGGGTGGGGGGGTGGGGGGGAGAGTGACGGAGAGGGAGAGGCAAAGAGCGAGCGAGCGAACGAGGGAGGGAGTGAGTGAGACGGGGAGTAAGGGAGGGAGTGCGGGAGGGATAAGGGGGAGGGAGAGCGAGAGACAGAGAGTGGGGGGTGGTCGAGAATAAGGAAGGGAGAGAAGAGTGAGTGAATGAGAGAGAGAGGAGTGAGAGAGGGACAGAGAGGGGGGAGAGAGGGACAGAGAGGGGAGAGAGAGAGGGAGTAAAGCTCCCTCTACACTGTGCGTCCGTCCACACTCCCAGGTCAGGGTTAGAGGCACATATAAAGGTTTATATTGCCTGATTAGCACAGGCCCTACAGCAGATGGCTAAGTACCCTCACAGGGCGTTTGTGTTGGTTTCAGTGATATCATTTGGTAACTAAAACATTATTACGCAAGGTGCTTGGTGCGGGACGAGTTCTCGACTGCGATGTCAGGCAGGTACAAGCCATCCTCGACTCGGTGCGAGACGATGCGAGGGACATTGGCGCGATGTGGGATGCGAAACGAGTTGAAATGATTTGTCTTGCCGAATGGAATTGATTTAATTCACGTCCTCTCGCACCGACCGCCTGCCCTGGGCTGAAAGGCTAAAGCCTGGGCTGGGAGCGCGGACGGACGCACAGTGTAGAGAGAGCTTTACTGTGTCTCTAACCCTGACCTGGGAGTGTGGACGGACGCACAGTGTAGAGAGAGCTTTACTGTGTCTCTAACCCTGACCTGGGAGTCTGGACGGACGCACAGTGTAGAAGGAGCTTTACTGTACATCAAACAGTACTGTAACTGGTTCGTGTAGAGGGAGCTCAACCGTGTGCCCAACCCCGATGCTGTACCCGACCCGGTCCTTGTTGGATTTGTACGAAAACTGGCATACAAATCATCAAAGGACACACAAAAGGAATGTTCCAGCGGAGCCCAGAGGAAGACAGTAGTGGGACGAGAGGAGCGCAATGATTCAGAAGTCAGTGTGAAAACTGAAGGCTTAAATAATTCCCTTTGAAGCGGCGAATGTATACAGTTCTGACACCGATTAATCTTCCCCTCACGTTTCGTTTCTCTTGCCGGGCACTAATATCTCTCTCTGTAGTCAGCTGTTACCCTCTAACGCACCAATCAATTGTTTCCACCGTTGGGACTAGACAACGCCTGGATTATAATAATAATAGTAACCCTTGCATTTGATACAGCGCCTTATCACGCCTTCGAGACATCTCAAAGCGCTTCACGGGATACACCGTGGGTGGGTGGGTGTGGGTGGGTGGAGTAAGGAAACTTGCCTAACGTTTCGCCTTGCCGGGAATCGAACCCAGGTTCTCTCGCTTGCGAGGCGAGGGCGCTGACCACTGAGCTCTCTCACTGGGACTCCACAGTAAGATCCTTCAAGATGGTGGTCAACAAACAGCCTGCGGGCCAGAAGCTCCTTCTACACTGTGCGTCCACACTCCCAGGTCAGGGTTAGAGACGCAGTAAAGCTCCATCTACACTGTGCGTCCACACTCCCAGGTCAGGGTTAGAGACGCAGTAAAGCTCCATCTACACTGTGCGCCCACACTCCCAGGTCAGGGTTAGAGACACAGTAAAGCTCCATCTACACTGTGCGTCCACACTCCCAGGTCAGGGTTAGAGACGCAGGAAAAGCTCCCTCTGGATTCAACAACTGTTCCTTGTTCTGTTCGCTTACCTTGGTGTGCAGTTTTCCCAGCTGTTTCTCATCCAAGTTGGTTTGCTTGTACACTCTGGTCTTGTAGCGAAACTGAGAGAGAGAGAGAGACAGAGAGCGACAGCGTTAAGTGGTCCTTTCTATGTACTGAAATCATCATCTGCCTCTGATACATACAATCCCTGACTGGGAATACAGTCCGAGCTGCAATTGATCGCTGTGGAGTCCTCAGTGTGTGTTCATCATTCGGGGTAGGGAGTGGGGGGAGAATTGTCTAAAAATGGCCAGTCCATGACTTTGGGCAAATTACATGGAACATGATAATGATAATAAATAATCCTTGCAGTTGTTATAGCGCCTGATCCCGTCGTCGAGACGCCTCGAGGCGCTTCACAGGATGCCCTGCAAAGTGAATTGTCCAAGTAAAATCCAAATCATTTCCGTTTCCCGATAAGGGTCCTGGCCTGCGCTTCAAATCCAACGGCGTAAGTCCAAACATCTCGACTCCAACACTCCCCCCCACCCACTAGCCCCCCTCCCACCACACGAGTGCGGAGAATCTCCAAGGCTCCCGAAAATGCTCAGTCGCTTGCTTGTCCTGCGAAAGGCTTTGGCGTGACCTGTGGCCTGAGGGATCTTCTTCACAGGAGGATACGTAGCACGTGTCCGTAAAGGTGAGAGCGCCAGGCAGTGTAAATCGCTTCCGTCTCAAACAAGAGTGGCTCTTATAAAGAGTCCCGGCCTTGCAAGGGCGAGTCTCCCGCAGATCCAAGTCCTCGCACCAGTCGTCTGCGAAACAGTTGGGACTCCCCTTTCTCCATCGCCCAAGCTGCCCAATCCGTCGAACAAGCAACGGGGAGCTTCCAGGGTTCTCTGCTCCGCGGCTGAGATGCTGGTTCTCAGGAGGTCCTCGTGGAGTAGGGAGAGGGAGTTCAGATCGGGAAAGTTGTTTTGTAATCCTTCTGTTTATCAGGTCGCTGAGGCGTCTCAAAGAGCTTCGCAGAATATAATACTGATCCTTGCGCTCGACTCAGCCCCTTATCTCGCGTCTCCGAGACGTCTCAAAGCGCTTCGCAGAGACGGACCGTGAAGCGGAGTGACTGCGTGTTTTGCGGCCGATCGCGCCCAGCGACGTCCCCGCAAACAGCCGTGGATTGAGAGTCGATGGACTAACAGCTGGGTTCCTACCGGGCGTGCGTGTACGTGCGCTCGCGTGCGCGCGCGTGTACGTGCGCGCGGGCGCGTGCGCGTGGGAGAAAGGAAACTTGCGTTAAAGTTTCGCCCCGACCTGCGCGGGAATCGAACCCGGGGTCCTCTCGCTCGCTCTAACCACTGAGCCGCGTGGACTCCCCGTATGATTTCCGCGGACAGTTGACGGGAGGACAGTTGCCTGTTCACCTCCGCCCTTACCTCCAGGTAAGGGACCCCCTTCTCGAAGGATTGGGGGTACTCCCGAAGCAGCTTCTCTTCGTCCAGAAACTTAGCGTCCCGCCCGTTGGTGGCGGGCTGGAAGAGACCGTAGTTGAGCACGTCCTTCAGACTCTCGTTCAGCGTGCACAGGATCTGTTGCTTGGCTACCCAAATTGTGGCATCAGGATTAAACCGCAGGCATTTCTGTCGAGAGAGAGAGAGAGAGAGAGAGAGAGAGAGGGAAGGAGAGAGAGAGAGAGAGAGAGAGAGAGAGGATGGGGGGGTGGGGGAAAAAATAAAGGTGTGCAAAGTACTTTTGTTGGGACCCATTGAGATGCTGCGGAGATTCACAAATAATAACGGCGTAATCATCATAATAAGCTTCGCGTTAAACAATTTGAAAACCCCCCCCCAAAAAAAAAAGAGAGGAATTATTTGGTCGCTTCAACCCACGGCTGTTTGTGCGCGGGGGGACGCTGCCGAGCGCAATTGGCTGCCGCGCTTCGCCCGCAAAGTACACAGTCACGTCACTTTGTCGGCGTGTCCTGCGCAGCGCTTGCGAGACGGGACGAAGGCGCTGGATCAAGCGTGAGGATCGCTATTATTTTGCACGACGCGCGCGGCTGGCTGACCCCTGCAGCTGTCCGCTGAGCGCGACGGCGCGGGGTTCTTGGGCGCTCGGGGCACCTTTGTGCATAAGGCGCTTCAAACTGCGCGTCTTTCCTCGCACAGGGAGGAGAGGAACAGATGGGGGCACTCAACCATTGCTAAGCCTTTGTACGCCTTGTCACTTCCTGACTCTGTGATTGCATGTGCGGAAGGCAGTGTGTGTGTATGCGTGTGTGTGTGTGTGTGTACGCGTGCTGCGTGTGAGTTGTGTGTGTGCGCGCGTGTGCGTGTGAGAGAGAGAGAGAGAGAGAGAGACCGAGCAGAACCGGGAAACACCAAGGGATTCAACGTACAACTAGAAGTTCCACCAAAAGGAATCGTCAAAAATAACAATAGTCCTTACATTTTACACAACCCCTGTCGGGGTGGGAGATTCACGGAAGTGTGCGGCAGAGAAGGAGGCCATTCGGCCCATCAAACGGGGATTTTTTTGTTAGGCGATTGGCTGCCGCGATTCGCCCACAAAGCGTACGGTCGATTCACTTTGCAGCGTAGACTGTGAAGCGCTGTGAGACGTCTCGAAGACGTGATGAGGCGCTGTATCAAGTGCAAGGATTATTATTATTATAATATGACCTTCCGAGAGCGTTACCGACTGAGACTCGTGCGCTCGACGCGGCCCCTGGACCAAAAATAACCGGTGAGGAGAGGTGAGTCACCGCGTCAAAGCGCCGGGGTCATGGCGTCGGAAGGCGAGGGCCGTATTAACGAGGGAGGCACAGCGATCAGACCATCCAGAGAGAGGAAGTTATTTAGTTGGGAGCTGCGCCAAACGGAGCCTTCGCTGTGCTGAGTAAACAGGAACTCCACGCAGCTTAAGTCGACGCTCCCCTGTGAGTCGCAGCGCAAGGTGCAAATCCTCAGGGTCCTCGGAAGAATCTCTACGTGGCTGACTGGGCTAAGTCCGTTGCCTTCTCCTCTTCCCCTCTCTCTCTCTCTCTCTCTCTCTTTCCCCCCTCCCTCCTCCGTCACACCCCCGTTTGTGGGACGTCGCTGTGCGCAATTGCCTGCCGCGTTTCGCCCGGAAAACACACACACACACACACACACACACACGTGATCCGCTTTCCGTGAAGCGCTTTGAGACGTCGAGAAGACGTGAAAAGCGCTCTATCGAACGCAAGGATTATTATTTTATTATTATTATTATCATAGCACGTTCTCTCCCTCTCTCTATGGCCGAGCTATGTGGGTTTAGCTGGTTAGACTCCAGCAGTTACCCCCCAACGCACACTCTGGGCTCCACCCCACCCCACCCCACCAGCCTGGGCTCTCGCCAACCGGGGCGACAAGAGGGTGCGATCATACCCCTCCACCACGATGACCCTGTGCGTCCTGTTCCCTGTACAGTCGTCTGGTCCGGCCACACCTGAAGGTCTCAAAGGTGTGACCTGAAGATAACGGCAATAATCCTCGCCTGTGAAATAGCGCCTCATCGCGTCTTCGAGGCGTCTTAGGGTGAGGGTTAACCCTCCGGAAAAGCGATCCACCAATCGAGTAGCAACCGGGTTCCTACTGACCGTTGGGTAGGTGACCATTGCCTAAGGTTTCGCTCTGACCGAGAATCAAACCTCTCTTGCGAGGCGGAGCGCTCTAACCGCCTGAGCTACGGGACACCACTGGGGAAGGAGAGGAGGAGGAGGGCGAGGTGGAGGGATAGAGCGTTTCGGGCGTAGCGGCTGAAACCGGGCGGTGGGAGGAACGGGCAGCGGGGAGGGATTCCGAGGGGGTCGGGTCGGATCGGATCCTTCCGATCGTCGGAAACAAGACCATCCAAAACGATCCCGTGACCATCCGGAAGCACTCGAGGGAGTGATGCTGAAATATTAATACGTTCCAAACGGCTTAGTGAGCGCCTCGTTAATCGCAGCCAAATATAGGTACCTTTTTTTTTTCTCTCTCTCTTTGTAGGCAGATTTAAAAACGGACATTAAAAATTTAGCGCCTCCAAATTATTTATTTATTTCCCTAATTTCCTCCCCACTGGCAAAAGCCGTGCCTCTCCGCACCTGGTCTAACTACCTCCTCACCCCCCTCCTCCTCCTCGCTCCTCTCTCTCTCCCCCTCCTCCCCGACCCCACGACGTTGCTCGTGCGCGTGCGTGCGGCTTGCGTGGGCGAGAACTCGTCCGGAAGTCTGCGGCCGCCCCGCCCCCCCCCACCACCAACCGCCCTCCGTCACGTCTCCGGGGACGTCTCGAAGCGCTTCGCAGAGTACACCGTCAGGCGTAGTGGCTGTGCGTTTGGCGGCCGGGACGCGGCAGCCAAGTGGCGCCCATCAGCGTCGCTCAAACAGCCGTGGGTTGAAGTGACCGATTTTATTATTTTTTTTTGGGGGGCAAGAATTATTGCCCCTCGAAAAGCCGCTCTATCGAATGCGAAGATGATTATGATTATCTTTCACACTGCGTGGAAATCCCTCTCGGAATCTGGTTCGGATATTCGGAAGAGCTTTCCAGTATTAAATCCAACAGCATCAGTGATACAAGTCTCAAGGGCCATCTTTGGCTTCCAATATTTCTTTTAACCTGTTTCTGTAAATCCCTATCTTCTCCCGGTCTCTCCCGAAAGACCTTTTTATATATAAATATACATATATATTTCTCTCATTCATTCCTATTTTAATTGACCTAATCTATCTAATCCTGTGACTCACTCGAATCGCTCCGTCTTGCATCATGACCCAAACTCTCGCTGCACTCGACGGCGCTCTTAGATTTAACGAGGAGGTTGAGTCCGAAATGATGGGGGGAGGGGGGTGGGGGTCGAGCCCCAAGTGCCACACGCTCAAGAGGCGTCGTCCTCGGGACGAGACGTCAAGCCGGGCTCCCCCACCTGCCCCGCCCAGCGCCTCGTCACGTCTTCGAGACGCCTCAGAGCGCTTCGTGGAGTCGCCGTGTATTTCTTGGGCGGAACCCGGCAGCCGAATTGCGCGCAAACGGTCGGGCGGATTGAGAGAGACTCCATTTTTTTTTGGGGGGAAGGGATTATTACCCCTGGGATTGACCGACAGCGGGGTTCGTGTGTAGAAATTGGCTGCCTCGTTTCGCCTGCGCAACGCGCAGTCACTACACTTGGCAATAAAATCCTGCCGCACGTTTCAGAGACGCGACGAGACGCTGAATCGAAAGCGAAGCTTATTTTTCTCCCCCCCGACCCCTCCCTCCCCCCAAACCATCGCCCCGCGTTAGCGTGGGGCGCACGTGATGTTTGGACCCAGTTATTTCTACAGCGGTTTTCAGGCCCAGAAGTCTTCTGGCCCACGGAACGGAAAGATAACCGTCCTCCGCTGTGAAACATTCTGCGAGAAGGTGACAAGACCATCACGAACCAATTAGCCTTTGCCCAGGCTGCGATCTCGGCCAGAATAGGCCACAGCGCTGACCGCGCTCTCAACCATCTGTGCCTCCGACAAACGGGACCCTGGTTTGACCACTCATCTGAAGGCGATGCTCTTCCCGACACTGGGCTGGAGCGTCGCACGAGATCGCGATGCGATAAGGGTGATGTGATGTGACGATTGCGTCAGCGTGGCCTCAGCGCTCGGCTGATTCTTGCCTCGGAGTCGCAAGGCTGTGGGTTCAAATCCCAGCATCGGGACTCGCTATCCCGTCGTCTAAGACAACAGCAATAATCATAAGAATAATCCTTGCATTTGATATAGCGCCTTATCACGTCTCTATCGAGACGTCTCTAAGTGCTCCAGTGCGGGGCTTGTGTGTGCGTGTGTGTGTGGGGGGGGTGGGAGGGGTTCCTTGATGGAAGCGTCATCCTTTGGATGAGACGCTAAAGCCGAGACATGAAACGGTTTCGCCCCCACAAATTTAACAGGAAGGTGGAACAGGTTGGAGGGGCTGAATGGCCTACTCCCGCTCCTGTGTTCCAATAGGGGGAAACTCGCTTCTCTTTACGAGCAGAGCTGCGGCGTCGCTGACATCCGCAGCGGACGAAGGAGAAGATAAGATAAGAAGCGCAGCAAAAGCTGACAATATGCCTGAGACACGGGAGGCTTTATCGGTCGCCTCAGCCAAAAGACAGCGACAACTTTGAAACTGGGTCACCTATTCCAAGTCTCACGTACAGCACATTCCCAGATACTTTCCGGCAACCCAATTTATCTGTTGCACCTGAAGCAAACGGAGCTCAGGGCTGTCGGCAAGTTTCCTTACTCCAAACACACACAAGCACGCACACGCACACACGCACGCACACGCACGCACACGCGCCTCTGTTTACCAACAGTCAGTGGGTTGTTAGTCGACTGGTGGATGGCTTTTCCAGGGGGTAATAATCCCTTCAACTGCAGAATAATTTGGTCAATCAATCCACGGGCTGTTTGTGGAGACGTCGCTGGGAGCAATTGGCTGCCGTGGTTCACCCTCAGAGCACACAACACTCACAGTCACTCCACATTACAGTATATTCTGCGAAGCGCTTTGAGACGTCTCGATGGCGTGATAGGAGAGAAAAAGAGAGACGCATTGTCAGAGATGCCATCCTCCAGACGTATTTTGCAGTCAAGCCCCGCAGCGAGATTGCGCA